ACAGGGTTGCTCTTCAGTTTGTGCACGAGTTACAAATCAAAGCTTTGAAGAATTATGAAGCGAGTAGAGATCGATCTTTACCTGTGTTTGGTGTTGGTGTTGCGTTTGTGGATGAAAGTGCGGCTTATCCTGCTCTTTCCACTGAAATGGTTGATGCGATTGAGTGGATTCGATCTACTGTGTCGAGTTTGTGTCCACCTGCAAAGGATCTTCATGTTGTTCCAATCGAAAGCGTCTTTGGTTCAGACACTCTTGAAGCACGGGATAGGCTTGTAAAGCTATTGGATTCTGTTACTGACGAGACTGGAAAAGAAGACCTTGTACTGCATCTGAAAATGTTGTCGTTGCAGAAGGTTTGACTATTATATTTTTGTTGATGTTTCTCATGGTTTGATTGGAAACATCTTTAGTTTTATGTTAGATGATAATCGTTTTCTAGGCTGCCTCTGAGAATGGGTACAACAGATTAGTGGTAGGATCATGCACGTCGAGACTCGCTTCCCACGTTCTTACGGCTACTGTCAAGGTTTGTTGCTTACTAGTTTTGGTGTACATTGGTTCTATAATGAAACTTCCATGCCTGAACGTGACCTAAGTAATTACATCTGTAAAGACTAATGTTTCGGTGTAAAGATTTTAAACTCAATATACAACCTCTTTACGGTGTAAGCCCAATTGCTTCTTGTTGAGACAGGGGCGAGGTTATTCACTATCAGCAGATATTCAGCACGTTGATGCGAGATGGAAGGTCCCCATTGTGCTTCCACTTCGAGATTGTGTTTGGCTGGAAATAAATAGACTCTGCCGTTTGGATGGGTTCGTATATTGACTACCTAGTCCATATCGTATTACTAATGCTACGGTGATCTGTATTCTTGGCGTTTCCTGTCTCAATTGTTGAATGGCATCTGACATATTAATGGGCAGGGCAGTCTAAAGACTCTGGATTTGGCTCGTCGTCCTCAATCCGGTATCAATGATTTGGTGTCTTCATTTGTCGCTTTGTTGCAGGTTCCAAATTCATTCTTAGTTCTGTGTTCTATCTAAAGTTACCGAAGTTTAGGTCTCTGAGTTTTATATATTTATCGTACAGGAAGAGAATCCTTCTCGAGAGTGCACAATTGTACGGACAGCTGCAAAGCTTACTCCATTTTACTTCAATAAGATTCTCGAGACGGACGACTCTAATGTTCCTTTGGCAACTCAAAGGCGTCTAAAGAAATTCAATCTCAAATACGACGGTTCTATGACTACAGAAGCATTCTGTCCTATCTGCAATGGCCCGCTAAATAGATCAGATTTGAGCACTTTTGAAGGTTGCCATGAATCTGACGTCCTTTACGCCGCTTGCTGTTCAAGTTGCCGGTTTCAAATACTCCCACAAGATCGATCATCTCTTGAGCATTTCGGTTTATTTCTACCACATCAAATGATCTCCCAAGTGAAGCATCAAAAGGTTAACAACAGTCAAGCTTCTCTGAGGTTAGTACCCTAAAAACCAATTAGATTGCTAATCAACAGCACTGAACTTAGTTTTGGATCCATTTTAGAATTATTAATAGTTCATATGTCAGTATCTTTGGCTCTTGTTGGTTTAACATATGGTTTCCAAATCATGTTTCAGGGAGAAAATTAAAGACTGTTTGATATTGGACAATGATGAAGAAGCTGTCTAAATCTGCAAATGTTTGTACAAGGCAGATGAATTTGAACTGCATAAGAGTTTTATAATGTTGTAACTGCATAAGTTTTAACATAAAACCACCAACAACAAAAAAAATTTCAGAAGTTTTTGTTAATTTTTATTCTTCAATCAGAAGTTTTTGCATAAGATTTTTGTTAATTATCCTCCAATTACATCTGATCAAAGTAATTTAATTAAGGCACATAAACATTAAAGACTTTCGGGTTAGTTTTAACAAGATACAATTAGTATATTGTTAACCTTTGCCATACCAATTACAAAGGCATTGATCATAATTAACTCCAACACAAAAGCCAAAAGTTTTGCCAAGAGACCTTTTTGAGTAAAGTTCTAAGCATTTTGTTCGGCACGCTACAAACATGCATGGATTGTCAACGTCTATGACTGCCCTACACATTATTATTTCCGCACTTGAAATAGCCAAAAAGCCTAAAAACAAACACATCAACATTTTGTAAATACTTACAAGTATATTAAACTAGCATAATTTATAGATTATATTCATTTAATAGGACACATGTTCAGAAGCTAAATTTTGAGTTTTATAAACATGTTCAATGAAATACAAGGCATGAGAATTATTACCTGAGAGAACAAACATGCATATGAAAAGATACGAACATAGTAGTTTTGCCATGACTTGTGAAACAAACAATTGATAAATTTATGTTAATATAAAAATTGTTTGTTTACGAATTTTTTTGATATTGAAAGTGAGTTAGAAAAAGAACGTTTTTATAGATTATAAGTGATGAGAGAAACAAAGATAATTCATTTTAAGAATCATATTTGGAATTTTAGGAATGCATCTTTTTTTCCTCTAAAATAAGTAATCTAAATGTTGACCAACATGGTGGAAACAAAAATGAGGAAAGACATTAAATTCTTCTTCATTTCTAATAGTTTAGATCATTTGTAAATTTTATATGATACATATGGTCAAATCTCAAAAGATTCGACCCATAATTTCTTTATTCTTTTTTTTTTTTGTCAAATACATTCCTTATTCGATGAACCGGTGATATTAGCATCCGGTTCTATATTCTTCTCACATGTCATATCTTTGGCTCTTGTTGGTTTAACATTTGGTTTTCAAATTATTTTTTTCAGGGAAAAAATTTAAAGACTATTTGATATTGGACAATGATGAAGAAGCTGTCTAAATCTGCAATGTTTTTACTGTTTCAGATTTTAATCTTCGTGGTTTGCACAAGGCAGAGAGATTTGAACTGCATAAGAGTTTTGTAATGTTGTAAACCGTGCTGCATAAGTTTTGACATAAAATCACAAAAAAGGGAGATTAGCTAGAATAACCTACTTTTTTTTAAATAGCTAGAATAACCTTACTATTTTTTATTGCTGAAATAACCTATTCTAGATTTTTTTTTCTTTCATAATACCAAAATTGTCCTTCGCAGACTCTACCGAGGTATTGGCAGACTCTACCGAGGTATTGGCAGACTCTGCCAAGGTATTGGCAGACTCTGCCAAGGTATTGGCAGACTCTGCCGAGGTATTGGCAGACTCTACCGATGTATTGGCAGATTTTGTAAATATCTAAAAATNCGCAGACTCTGCCAAAACATTGGCAGACTCTGCCGAACATTGGCAGACTCTGCCGAAATATTGGCAGTCTCCGCCGAAACATTAGCAGACTCTGCCGAGATATTGGGAGACTCTGCAGAAACATTGGTAGATTCTACCGATGTATTGGCAGACTCTGCCAATATCTATAAATACGCAGACTCTGCCAATGTTTCGGCAGAGTCTGCCAAAGACAATTTTGGTATTATGAAAAAAAAAATTCAGAATAGGTTATTTCATCAATTAAAAAAAAGGTAAGGTTATTCTAGCTATTTTTTTAAAAAAATAGGTTATTCTAGGTAAATTTTTCCAAAAAAAATTCAGAAGTTTTTGTTAATTTTTAGCACAAATAGAATTGACTACGGATTCTAGCAATAGCACATGATTTCTTAAAACTGTATGATTCTCCCGATCNAAATCAAGCCGGTTTTACATGAAAAAGGTTGTTTATATTATTCATGTGACAATATTCTCCAATTACATAATTGATCAAAGTAATTATTAAGGCACTTAAACATTATAAAGACTTGCGCTCTAGTCTTAACAAGATACAGTTATATATTTTTTAAGCTCTGGAACTGTAATCACAAGTGCAATGATCATGCTTAACTCCGAGACAAAAGCCAAAAGCACCTTCTGAGTAAATTTGCTTGCATTTTGTTCGGCATAATAGAAACTCGCATGGCTTGCCAAGCTGACCGTCCTACACTCTTTTATTTCTTGTGCACTTGAAATAGCCAAAAAAGTATAGCAAATGCTCGTGAATGGTATTTAACACAACGAGAAGAGACACGAAAAAAGGATCAAATCAAGAGGCCACGTTTTTGCAGAACCAACCACACGGTACCATTCTTTGCTATACATATGGAGCATGGTCGGAGGACAAACGGCTAGCAGGACTAGGTTGGATTTTTCAAAAGCCAAATCAGAGCACTTCAACCTACACTATCTTTGACCCTTAAGGGTCCCAAGCAGGTTCGGCCCTATGCATGTTAAAGGAATGCATTTGCATAGGGCCTATTTGTTTTAACAAAAAAAAAATCAGACTAAAATTTTTAATAATAAAAACCCAAAATTTTTGTTTTTTTTTTTCTGAAAATAGGGTCCGTTTTTTATAGTTTTTGTTATATAGGGGTTAAAAAAAAACATTTTGCTCAAGGCCCTATTTTGTAGTGAGCCGGGCCTGGTCCCAAGCGGAAACTTTTGTTGCCTCTCCAATAATGGCCGAAGCATTGGCACTGTGTCTTGCTCTTCTCAAAGCAAAGGACAAAGGGATTTCGAAACTAAGAGTACGATCAGACTCATTGGCGTTGATTGGAGCAATTAACTCACACAACTAAATCGAAGAAATCGCCAGACTCCTTCAAGATAGAAAGAACCTTATCCCTAACTTTGTTTTCATCGATTTCCATTATGTCTCTCGTGGAAAAAAAATACGTTGGCCGACGAATTGACAAAACTTGTTGTAAGAAATTGGCCCATTGTACCACCTACATGAGTATGGAATGAGAAAAAGCTTGATGTTCAGAAAAAAAAAAACCAAAAAGCCTAAAAATAATAATTTGTTTTTGATACTTATACAAGTATATTTAACTAGCATAATTTATAGATTGTATTCATTTGGAAATGATTAGATATCTTAGGATTCATATATCGTCACATTCGATCACTTTTTTGTAGGTTATTTTTGATTGGGTCCAAAATTATTCAATCATGCTTAAAAGAATTAGATGCTTCGATTTCAAAAGCTAATTTTTGAGTTTAATAACCTGTTTAATGATATTCAAGGCATACGAATTTTTACCTGAGCGAACAAACATGCATATGTTTGAATCTTTATTTGGACATTCCTTTTAGTTTATGTTTGATCGCAATTGTGATTTGAATTGCATTTTTTCTTGAGATAGTGACTATGTTATTTACTATCCCAAATATGCGATCTTAAGCC